TAATATTCCGTTATCTAATCTTTCTATAAAAAAAGTGCATTCAAAAAATAAATTCCAACCTTATCACACTGTGTAAACTTCATCAATTCCATGTACTGGACACTAAACTGAAAAATATTGATGTTATGTTTTCTATTATATTTTAAATATTGATGTTATGTATTTCTATTCATAACATATAACACATTCACTTGAAGTGAATTGATTGAAGTATTTCTTTTGATTCCTCGTACATGTCTCTCAATCTATGGTTCATTAATTATTCGACCATTTTACTAAATGGGACGGTATCATACCAATCATACTGCGATATGACGGCTCCTCTTTGCTTTTCGCTTGCTACCAAATTTTTAAGCTTGAACTTTTTTTCAAAGAACTACTGAGTATTTTTAATCTCACGACGGAACCTTTCCAAACGCCCCCTCGTTTTTTTAACGAAATGTAGTAGGTTACAGGTAATTGACCATGCTGATTCGAAAATATTAGCCTTTTTTCCCCATAGATCTTTTCTAGCCTGTTTCTGGAAAACCGGTTTTCAAGGAATCTCGAAAAATCCCCAAAGCTTTTTCTAAATAAGTCACAATTGTAGCCCGCGAAATTCTAATCAAAATGAGACAAATCCCAGCCATATACGACCTTTCTTTGCAAAGTTATAGAGTTTACAGGAAAAGTCCTAAATTCCTTTTTCTTTCTGTAGATCTGAGGACATTTAATGGACATTTAAGGCTTTTTTTGTAAACTCTATAACTTTGCAAAGAAAGGTCGTGCAGAGCTATGAGATGTCTCATTTTGTTCAGAATTTCGCTGGCTACAATTGTGACCTGTTTAGAAAAGATTGTGGGGATTTTTCGAGGTTTCTGGAAAACTGGTGTTTCAGAAATCGGCTAGGCTTTTGCCGTCTCCTTTTTTGAGATTTTTAGCCCATTGTCTGAGATTTAATAGTTAATTTTTCTATATACAAAGATAGAGAATTTTATGCTCTATCGATCTCACTCATTCACAACTTCATACCATGTTTCTGCTACGCCGACTGGACTCATAATTAGTTCTCAACAAATTAGTTCTCAATTTTTTCAAATTAAATTAATTTTTTTAATTAATAGTTTCAATTGAGAAACTTTATTTATACATCAGAAAATGCAGAATTTAATTCTGTGTAAGGTAATAAGACTAAAACCTTGGATTCAGAATGTTTTACTGTTTTTTAGTTAAAAAACTAACGTTTGCGAAAAATAGGTTCAGAAATTAGGTTTTTTTAGATTTATCGGTTTTTTGAAGAGAGAAATTTTCCTAGAAGATTTAACTGTAAAATGTTGAAAAAATATGCAGGAAGATGCAGAATTATTCGATGAGTCTTGTGATATGTTCAAAAGTTTTATGGAATCTATTTTAGCATCAAGACAAATATTTTTCTATTTTCAGTGTGTCGCAGTTCGACAACTCAGCACCATTCATTCAATATTTTGAATGATGCTCAAATGAGAAAAATCCTATCAGAGATTTAAAAAGCAGGTTTGTAGAGAATTCAATTCTCTATCGAATGAGCCAACTCTTTGGACTACTGGAAAGTGCCTCAAAAACAAAGCACACAAGTGGCCATTTTATTCTGGGCTACACGTTAATGACTATAATCCCGATTTGGCAGTTTACTTGAAAAACTGTATATAAATACTGATGACAGTACTTCAAAACGATCTACTTACCATCTTTATTCTGATAATATATTCCTAATTTCACCATTACTTGATGCAAAATTTAAACTTAAGTGAATATTTAATTCTTCTCTTCATGAGCCAGATAAAGAAAATATTGTACCACTGATGCATGTACATTAATGATAAATAATAATAATCATAATTGTGCAAATGAAAATAATTCTAATTGTGAATTAAGTAATGTTATAACACGAAATAATACTAAAAGAAAAGATTTATTTTTGTATGTTAAAACACCAAACGCAAAAATAACTAGATTAATTTCACAAAGTACGGCAAATAAAGAAATACTATCTTTTTTAGATGAACAGAGTAAGGAAAGTAATTTAATTTTTGATTTGCACATTCTCAAGTAACTCTTTTAAAACTTAATGTATTTTAGCTAAAATCTTGTATTTTTTCACTAAAATTTTGTGCTTTTCCACTAAAATCTTCCGGATTTCGGGTAAATTAAAAACAAACGGAACCCGTACTCAGCAGCTTCGTACCCGTATCCAACGTTCGGATCGGATTGCGTTGGACATCTCTAGCGAAGAGGTTTTAGTGAGTGTGTATTCGACAGAAGACTTCTACTCTTTCTCTCATTAGAATCACTAGCTTTGCGGGTCACAAACCTGCCTAGAGCTACTTGAGCATCGTAGTTTCATCGGTTTTTCATTTATGTCATTGAAGTGGGATTAATAGGCTCCTCTGCTAGGGTTTAGGAATTTGCGTGGTCTGACTGAAGTCGGAAATCTACGACAAGATTGCGCAGTCAGAAAGATGCTTATAGATTTTTTCAAATTGCAGTGATTCACAAGCATTCCAGTAGTTGTGTTTTTTGTCGGACTGTTGCTCTTATCGGTTCGAATGATTCATTTTCGTTTCACGTAGCCTGTAGGTAAACTTAAAGAATATTGATTTCTGTGAGATAATGGAAGTTCTTTCAACCTTTTTGTCGTTATTCAATAATTTTAACACTTTGTTATTGAAATCTGACTTGTTCATGAACACAATCACATTATCTTTGTCCAGTTAAAAATATTACCAGAGGTACTCAAGACACTATTACAGAGGCCTGTTTTTGAATTTTATATTAGACCTTTCTTTATCCAGTCATAGAGTTTCTAAAATTGAAAAACTTGGTTTTTGAGGCGTTTTTCAGTACTTTTCCTATAACTCGACAAGGAAAGGTCTTGAAAAAATTTCCCAAAAATACATCTGCAGTATTACCTTGAGTACTTCTGGTAAAATTTTTAACTTGATCAGATGAAATTTAAGGGGACTGTAATGTGACACAATGAAAAACCGAGTTTTCTGGAAAACTCGTGAACGATAATAGTTAAAAACTTGAAACAAAAATGAAAAGATGCTTCTTTGAGTTTCCAATCAGTTTTGAAGTATAAAGCCTTAGTGACTTTTAGTTTTTATTTCGGAGCATTTCTACAGAAAGCTCAAAAAGAGGGGTATAACACCTTAAATGTGTTATACGTGAAAGAACAGGTATTACAAAATATAGTACGTTGCATAATAACAACCATGTTATCATACAACTGCACAAGAAATACTTATTTTAAATCCACAATCATAGCAAGAGATGGAGAAAAAATTAAAAGAGTCCTATTTTTAACCAACCTATGCTGTTTGTGATATGATTAGGTTTCATGTGTGTTTCTAAACAGAAGAAATAAACTTATCTGTAGGTTCTTGTATTATGCCGAGTGTTGTCACTTTACATAATTCCTTCTGCAATAAACGGAAACACAATCAGTTGGAAAAAAACACGATTTTTCTTAGAAATTTTCGGTATCACAAGGTAAGATTTTTACAAAAAAAAGTCTAATGCAACGGAAAATCTAGAAACTTTTCAAGTTACAATTAGTAAGTCTTAGAGCTCTTTTTATAAAAATTTAAGCTAAATGTTGTATGCCTACTAATAAGAAAAGGTTTAAACCAAAGTAGAAGAAAGCTGTTCTTGTTGCATGTGCCAATAGCAAGCATTGAAAATATTATGCTAATATCTGAGTTCTGAGACTCTGTCTACTTTTTAAGGGTCTTTGTTTGTTTTCGAATTAGAATGGCAATATCTAACATTCAAAATACTCAAAGACGCAGTCGTTATCATCTAAAGCCCTGGACAGATTAGAAGACCCGGGGTCTTCTATTCTGTCCTATCATTCACACGTTTTAGGAGGGTCTTCTATTGTGTCCCTTAGAGAAGTGTTATTTTTCAGTGTCCTTAGCAGTTAATGTCATTTTCAACAATTTTTTGCTTATTATTTCGTGTGCAATGGCTCCTGGTAGTAGACGACAGAAAGACAGAAAGGAAAGAAACATATGATGAAAAAAGAGACACGTGCACATATGCGAAAAAGCAAAAAAATCGAAAATTCTCAGAAAAACAACTACTTATAAGGGGGGGTCTTCTAATCTGTCTTTTGCTTCGCTCTCTCAAGGGGGGTCTTCTATTCCGGGGGGTCTTCTAATCTGTCCAGGGCTTTAAGTTTCCTCATTTAACCTTGAAAAAATTCAGAATAAAAACACTATCGCATTTCATTGTGTCATAACATTGAAATAAACATGTAGAAAGACATGATTGAACAATTTTATTCATAAAACGTGTTTAAAACTAGAATCATGATCTTTTTCAATAGAGAAAAAGGTTTGAACCGTGAAGTTATTTTTATTTCCAAAGTAAATTGTGACTGAGCGAGATAAACGAATAGTTTGATAGATTACTAACTATTTCTAAATGAGTGTGTTCAACCCGATTTCATCATGTATAAATGAGCACAGAATCAAGTTATCGAGTTGAACCAGTCATGACAAAACTAGCAACTAAAAAAGAAAAATATTTTAAATTAACATTTCATGAGTTATTAACCATTTTGTGTGCAGCTACTGTTCTCATAGTTATCGGCATTTATGCAACAGTAACGACTGATCGACGAACAGAAACAGCTGAAGAATGACGTCAGTTTGATTTGAAACAAGCAACTGAATTACAACAACAACAACAAATTTATAATGATTTTATTGATAATATTTATACGTTACATAGAGATAGTGAATTAAATGAAACGTCTAAACCATGGGCATTTGCTAATGCACGTTACAGAGCTGCCCATCGTCAATAGGATGCTGTTCGGAAAGCACACGTATTACGATTTCTCAAAGAGAAAGGGTTGATTGGGAGACAGCAATGTACAACAGGATGGGAAGTTAAACAGTTAGTAGATATTGTTCAATTGAATGAACTGAATTTAGACAATATTCATCTAACAAGTCAAACTGGCAGTTTGAATCTGTTGAATATGAAATGTGTTTGGTTTGATCAAGTTTCCATGATAAACGCATCATTCAATTTTGCCAACCTTAGTGGTGCATCATCTGATGGTTCAAGGTTAAATAGCGTGAAATTTAAAGATTCTTCCCTCACATGTGCTAGTTTTAATGGTACAGAATTGCAAGGTACAGATTTTGGTGATTCAAATTTACAAGATGCACAGTTCATTAATGTTAATGCATCCACGGCGAAAATAACATCCGATCAAATTCAATAAGCTAGATGGGAGAATACAATAATAAATGCAACAGCGAGTAAATCGACGGCAGCAACAGGTATTTTTTTTAAAAACTGTTTAAGTTGACAAATGCAAAGGGATTTTCCTACTAAATGAGCAAATCGATACGCTTAATTAGACTGCAATTAAAAGAACAAACAACTTTTTAAACTCCTTTCTATGTGCTATGACTATGTTTTTCTACAGTGCTGAACATAAAGCTACTGTGTCTCCATTTTATGTTTCACTAACTAGTACAACACATTCTGCCCCAACTTTTGGCATGTACCCATGAGTATTTTTCCCGTTGCAAAACGCGTTACAACGAGAAGTTTCGTGAAGAATACCGTCATTTGCGATTGCAACAAAAAAGCGAATTTTCTACTATGAGAAGCGTGGTTTTCTAATAATCAAAGCTCATCGGGGTTACAAAATAACATATAGTTTCTCGTAGTTTCGATACAAAAAGCAGATTTTCAAATCAATATCGCGGTTCATACTTAAATCGCTGTTATTTTCCCTTTTTATGATTAGAATTTCTGACTATATCTTCTAGAAAGTCGTAGAAAATGACGCAAGCAAGTCTACACTTCTTTCATGTTTGACATTCAGTATATTAGTAAAAAAATTAAACAGGAATTTGAGCTTTTTTATCCGCTTCAAACATTTATGACTTTGCTGCAAACATTTTAACTAAACTATCAAAAACTTTTATATTTTTAACAGCTCCAACGAGTTCTTCAACATCTATCAGTACCACGTCCTCAAGTAAGAAGCATTCCGAAAAAGCAATTCTTGCTGATTTGTTTAAATATTTATTTATAAATTCAATTTTTTGAAACAAGACAAATAGGAAAAGTGACTTCAGAAGTGAATTCAAAAGTGATTTACTTTTATTTGTTTTATCCAAACTTGTCGGCGGTACTTTTGACTTGTGCTTAAACTAAAATTCTATTTTAGCAAGCTTCACTTCTGATGCAATCAGCTCAACCTCTTCAAGTAAGATTTTTTAAAGTAATTTTTCCACAAATGGTTATCTAATTATTATAGCGAGTTCAACAACATCAGACACAACTACGTCGAGTACGAAGTTTATATTGAGTTTATTTGTTGAATAAAAAATATTTCATATTAAACTCAATTTCTCAAAATAACATATATTTTTTTGTCGCAAAATTTAAAATAAAATCTTTATGAAACTATGAAAAAAGCAGACAACGTTTAATAGAAATATCACTTCAAAAACTATATAATCAAACATTTAGTATATTTTTAGCAAACTCAACAAGCAGTTTAATCAGCACATAAACGACCATATCATCAAGTAAGAAACATTTAATTTTATGAATTCAGTCTTTTAAAAACTATAAATAGAAAAGATAAACTGAGCTAGTATTTCGTTTTTTGTGTAACGTCGAAAAAAAAAGCAGGAATTACTAACTATTTTCATAGTCAAAGATTAGATGAGAGCGAATAATTTTAGCCACTTCAACACTGAGTTCAAGGATGAGCTTATGATAGTAAGAGCAAACAATAGCTCTTAACAACTAGAGTTTGTCTTTCAAAAACATGGAAAATTTAATTGATTTTGACGACGAGCGACAGCGACTTTGCTGCAAAAATTTCTTTTATGTCATTACTTTAAAATGATCGTCGACCATACTGGCCAGAACAAATTTGAGAAAAGATTTGAACAGCTAAAAAAATTTTCGATCTGATGTGCTGTATAAAAAGTTTCTATCAAAACACTCGAAACCAGCATCTCTAGAAAACCGAAATCTCAGAAAACCAAGTCCTAGAGTTCAATCTAGAAATTGTTTGTAAATGTCTCCGAGCTCTTTACGATATTTTTGCATGAAACAGCATTCGATTTACGGAAGTTCCCATACCAGCAAAAGTAACAGGAAAACAAGAAGATACGGGCTTAAGGCCTTCCGTAAACTGAATGCTGTTTCATGCAAAAATATCGTAAAGAGCTCGAAGACATTTACAAACAATTTCTAGATTGAACTTTAGGACTTGGTTTTCTGAGATTTCGGTTTTCTAGAGACGCTGGTTTCGAGTGTTTTGATAAAAACTTTTTATACAGCATATCAGATCGAAAACTCTTTTAGCTGTTCAAATCTTTTCTCAGACTTGTTCTAGCCAGTATGGTCGACGACAAAAATGACAAATAAAAGTGGCGAACAATTTTTGAAACCATTCTAAACGCAGTATTTAATACCCAAAGAACTCGTTAAGTTTTCTAATAACACATGCTGTAGAGCTTTTCAAGACGCATGGAATGATGATTAGAGATCCTCTTTAGTTTTACAGAAAAAAGTGGTCAAGAGTTCCCTTGGCATAATCGAGAACAATGGAAAAGTCTAGTACTAAACTCATAAAACCTGCTGCCAGGCTTCGTGAAGTTTCCTATTAGCACATACTGAAGAGCTTTAAAAGGTACATCCAATGATGTATTGCATTAGGTTTCATATTGGGTGGGTACGGAGAAATTTTGATTTTACAGTCAATGTTGGTGCTAAGTCGTTTTTGGTTTTCGAGTAGATTTTGTCGGATATATTCGTCTGACAGTGCTCGGAAGGGTCGAAATCATCGAATATGATTCTGGTGAGTTTTGTACCGATTGGAGCGGTAAAAGTTAGTAAGTCGATTTCAGGTCTTATGCGGATTTCACCTTTCACCGTTTTAATTTTGGCGAATACTTGGTCTTCAGCTTTTGTCGCTTTGCTGTTTCTTTGGTTTCAGTTTGTCTGACATTTGACGAGATCGATATCACTGGTCCTCCTGGTACTAAAGGCGCCCTTATATCGTCCGGTGGGGTGAGGTTTGAAAAGGCGTTTGTGATGTATGCCGTAGGTCTAGGTGATGGGTACGGGACGGGCCTGGTAAGCCCGCCGAATATTGCCTGGGGCGCCAGCGGCATGAAGATCATAAGTCGCGTTGGTACGCCATTCTCTCAAATCTCATTTTATTCATCAGCTGCACACAAAAATCCATTAGCAGTGGAAATTATTGGCACAAGATCAAGCAGCGAAATAAAACGAACACAAGTTCAACTTTTTGATAATCGACCGCTACACACACATTTCGCTATCTGCACTCTATCACGTATGATTCTGTCTGGTATAAATAATAATCCTCAATGATATGCCTGAAGTATTTTCCAAGATTTTTTAATATATTTTACTAGAGAGTTCAGGTTTATTTTATTTTAGATTAGACACCTAACTATACGCTTTGACCGGCGCCGATTATACAATTAGGTCTTAGTTTTTTGTAAAATTGAGGGTTTTTAGAAAACCAGGAAGCGATTTTACGTTTTTGAGATTGTCTATAAAACGAACAAAGGCTTAATTGGAAAATAAGCGCCGGTGAGCCCATGTAATTAGGTGTCTAGTTTGAAACAAAACAAACCCGAACTATGTAGCTTGAAGTAGATAGAAAGGTAGAATTTACCAATAAATCAACCAGTTCGTTGCACATTACTAAGGCAGACGGTGAAAAATATCACAGAAATAATCCGTAAAATGCATGGGAACACGACAATTAATCGAAGTATGTGTGAAACAGTGTTATTTTTTCAGTATGTTTGAGTGCCAATCTGTTTGCGGATTCGGGACAACCATCGACAAATCGAATTCACTGAGAACCAAACTAATTCACAAAAGAAGATTACGTTACTCTGGAGCATATAAGATGGGTAAAGTAAGTGTCAATTGTCGATCTCTTTGTCGATTAAATGCTGCAGAATGAAAAATAAACTGAATTCAAAAGCGAAAAAGAACCTTTTGCTTTCTCATTTTTTTCTCATAAACCTATGTGAAACAAGTCATTTCTCAGCAAATGAACAATGTCAATTGTCATAATCTGCACCACACGAGAAAGTTATGCAAGACGACATCTATTAACAAGGTTTCAGCACGGTCCTTACCTGAAATCTCTATTTGTTTGATTTACACAATGTAGTGTCACCGATCCAGATTTCTGTTAAAGTATCGAATGTGTTGATTCCGTCTATTATGATTTCCACCTATTTTGTAAGTAATACTCTAACATCTGTTATTCATCTGCAGACGAATTTTTGGATTTTTGAAATAGTTAACAGTCTTATGTTCTCCTTCTTGATAATGGCATGCATTAAAACTGAATAGCGTGAACACAGAGCTTTGTTGGTGGTAGTTATTTCAAACTATTTAATATTTAACGCTTCGTTTACTACAAGATTTCGAGACTGTTGACAACAAACGTTCATTTTTAAAAGACATACAAATGAAGAGGGCGCGACCAGCTAAAACTGAACACGAGCGAAAGTCATAAACATCGATTTTTGTCTGGATGTTCTTTATAAATGAGTAACGTGTTCAAGATCCGGAAAATTGATTTGAACCTGGAAATGACACGGTTAACAATATACTGTTAGTGCCATATATCTACGAAAACAAAAGCATGATGGTGCAGCAAGAATGTACGATTTTTATGCGCAATGCAGTTATTACGACAAATTCGTTTCTGTTTACCTTCATGCACCAAAAATGATTTAATATTTTTGATTCAATCAACACCTATCCAAAGCAGAGATCCACAGGACAATGTTTTTTCACGTCCCGTCTCGTTGTATCCCGTAAGGACTTCGCCCCCTCGGACACCATACTACAGCACACAGCTAACAGTCTTACGACACTTTCTTTCTTTTTTTCTGTAAACTTCTTGTGTAATGAAAGCGGAAATGAGAAGAATGTTTGGACCGATGGCGAGAGAGAGGTATGACACATAGATGGCACAGAAGAGGATTTAACGGTGTGGATGGACTAGTATCTAATCGATGTCATCAATTCTTCTCGTAAAAGTCAACCTTGTCTGACCAATGCAAGCGGACATTTCTGATAATTCAAACCATTAGTTGAACTGTCTTTCAAAACGTATGTGATAACACTTCTTGCAGCTAGCCATCTTGCATGAAACTCACCATTTTCATCTGTTTCAGCCAAGAAGCCGAATGTAACCCATATTGATGATTTTGTTTCAAACGGATTATCAACAACTTTAAACTTCAAGGGTTTAGCGTCACTCCGATAAAAAATAATAAACAATAAACGTAGGGTTTCATCATCGTTCAACATTCTATCTCGCGCATGTGTTATTGAACGACTTTTCTCTCTCCAACGAATTTAATCAGGAAAACGTATGATTATTTGCTAGTACACCAGCGAATACAGTTTTGAAAAAACAGTTCTTAACCCGCCTCGACGGTTCGGTTCGCGACGAGACTATCCCGCGCAACTCTGATGCAAAGACTAAAGGAACACAAACTATTGTCCATTTTAAAAACATAGTGCTTTAATTGTGTACAAACTTACATTAAAAGTTCTTGATAGAACACTTATCTAAAAATTCATGAATTATGAGTTTTATATGCACAACAAATGATAAATAGGACAGATTAACGCGTTGTTAACAAACCACTAAAGTCCACAAATAAATTATAATTCTGCAATCCACCGAGATTGATGCATAAAAGAAATGAAGGGTTAAGTCGGAAAAAATAAAAATGGGGTACTTCGTTTCCAGCTCTAACGAGGGAAGGCCACCAACTGTCCAATCGCTTTTGAGACGAAACCTAGTGGATTATAGGTTATCGACTATGCTGATTTCGAATATGACCATGGCAGCTGCCTATAGGTCTCCGGAGATCCGGGTTGCGCAAAGCCAGTTTTTCAGAAACTCCTAAAAATAACCCAAACCTTTCTTAATGAGGTCTGATTGTAGCCTGCACATTTCTCATTAAAATGACACATCACCCAGCTCTATATGAGTTTTCTCTGCAAAGCTATAGAATTTATAAGAAAAGCCCTAAATTAATTTCTTATTTCTGTAGCTTTGAGCTGACAATGAAAATTTATGGCTTTTCTTGTAAATTCTATAACTTTGCAAAGAAAACTCATATAGAGCTGGAAGATATCTCATTTTAATGAGAAATGTGCAGGCTACAATCAGGCCTCATTAAAAACGGTTTGGGTTATTTTTTAGAGTTTCTGAAAAACTGGTTTTCTAAAAACCAGATCTCCGGAGACCTATGGACAGCTGCGATGGTCATATTCAGAATCAGCATAGTTGATAACCTATAATCAGAAGCGATTGGACAGTTGATGGTCTTCCCTCGTAAGTACTTGGTACCGTTTTTTATTGGAAATATCATTTAGTACAATCAGGGAAAAGTTACTTTGTCCAAGATTATGAACATTATACACAGTCAAAGTCAGCAGAGAACTACATATAATTATTAGCCCAACAATCTACATTTATGCCATGTAATGTAACCGTATCCATTCTTTTAAAGGTAGAAAAGTTCGTTTATATGAGTACTTCTATCTCTGAATATTTACTTAACTTTTAATAGAGAAGTAGACAAGAAAAGAAATTTAATAAATTTATTTGGCACAGGACTTATATTGTAGTTCATGCGACGAAGTGGAGACTATACCAGCAATTATTATATATCGTGTAAAATCTTCTACTATAAATAAATAACGCTTAGATTGCATTACATAAAAATATGATTTTTATATTGTTTATTAAGGGAATAAGTTCATTTCAATTCGACAATTATACCGGACCGGTTACCATACGATTTATTAATGATGAACCACGTTTCAGTTGATCCTAAAATATGAATATAAGAGATAAACAATAAGACATAACATTTTTGTATAATAAATCAAAAAAATATAAACTTTTAGTTTAGCTTAAGTCTAATAAAAGTCAATAATGAATATACTTACATGTCTTTGTAAATATTTATAGGTATCTTGCCAATTTGCAAAGCCACCCACAGGTGCTATTGGTGGTAGACTAGCAATTAAACCACTACGATTAACTGTTGAGACAGTCGTTACAACACTCAATGGATAAGTTATTGATTGAGCAACAAACTAAAATAAGAAAACCGAATAACTGACTGACTATCTTAGAAAAATGTATAAGTAATTCTCAAAATAAAATTTAGATATGTAAATTTGACAAGATTCTATTCGGTAACACTATTCTTTGAATTCTGCTGTCTTGCACATAAAGTTAAATGTAAATTCTTTAGTACGTACGGCGGCTAAATATTCGAATAGTGGTGCCATTTCTTGTTGCGCAGGTATTTGCGTTTTAAGTAAATGAATTAAAAAGTTTGAAATGACAATTGTTGATACTTCTAACAACCATCGTGGAATAAGACCTCTACAAATAGAGAGAACTTTATATAACTTAATTAAACATGATAAATAATACGTACACAAAAAAACCTCCAATGCCTTGTCTCTGAAAAATTTCTACAGCATTTTGAAATATGTTTATTGACGAATAAGTTTCCTCTCTACCAATAAATTGTGCCATACAGCGAACAGCCATCACTAAAGTTAAAAAATACAATAAATAAGCGGTGTGTAAATGGCACACACACACACACACACACACACACAAACATTTACCTTGTAATGGATGAGAGATAAGGATTCCAAATGATTGACATTGTACTTCCCTTAATGTCTAGGTAAAAATAAATAGAAAAATAGTATATTGAAAAATATCCAACACAATTATAGTCTTGTATGACAAAATCATGTAATATCTCGTTTTCATACTTTTTGCAAACATTTATTCCATGTTAAATTAACTTGTTCATTTTGAGCTTCTTTATTCACTGGACCCAATAACTAAAATAGAAAAGCAAGAACAAATTTAAGATTTATATAAGTACACAACATTGTTATGAAGTACATAAAAACTTAAGTAAAAGAAACAACAATTTATTTTCTAAATTAACAAATCTATTGTGTAGCAGTATCTCAATGCTTTCACACAAACGTGCGAGAACGTGTCAATAGTGGGAAAAAAAAGAATGATGAATTATTATTTTCAGATTTGTAAATAGTCAGATCATATTATTATATGTTGTATACAAATGATTACCTCATCAATAAAAGAAAATTACTTTTTCGCTTTAGTAGATTAACATGTGAGGCATAGTGCTTTTATTATTAATGAAACAATCGTTTATAGTTAAAAAAAACATTATTAACTCGTACATACTTCGTCTACTTTTGTTGTTGTGTACCAGCAAACAACTTTAGCCATTAACGAACATCCAAATCCACGATATATACCAGTGAAGCCATCGATATTATAAACAAAACGAACTAAAAATATGAATAAGACGAAGAAATAAGATAATAGTTTAAGAAATGATGACGTATCAACAGAAAATTGATACAAACAGACTTCAATTCTATTATCTACTAATCTTAACTAAACAGTTGAAACTGTTCTCTTTTTTACTTTTATTTGTTTATCGTACAAAAAAGTTAATGACAATAAACATAGTTTCTAAAGGAGATTAATTAAGATGTTTTACACTAACTCATACTGTGTCAGAATAAAAGAAAATATCATTTTTTTCCATCGTGTAATTTGATGTTATTTATAAAGTTTCAAAGAATAAAGAAATATGTATTTGTTAACATGGTAGTGTTCTTGTTTCTCTATCACAAAGTGGGACTAAAAATCGATAAAATGAGCTTAATCGAAGTGCTTTATATTATTTTCTATCGATTTTGACGAAAAACAAAAATTTTTTTTTCTTCTTTTAAATGAATGTGCACAAGCATACTAAAAAAGCAGACTATCATTTAGAGAAAGAGATAGTTTGATATGCCATTTTTTCAATTCAGTTCATACAGTTGCAACTGTTTAATCTATGTTAAAAAGATAAAGATCATCACAGATTTTTTTATCTAAGATCACACGTTGTAGTATTATTTGAAAAAATAACGCATAGTAGAGTAAGCTTTTTGTCTTTACCGTTGCTAACAATAATAAATGGTTTATATAATTTACTGAAGAAAAAGTTCATAAATATGTTCTGACTGTATGGTAGAAGAGGCTAAAGTGATAAAACGAACGTTGTTAATAAGAAGATGAAGTGAAAAACTGGGTAAACTTAAGGAAGTTTTCAACCTTTTTGAAAAAAATTTTGATTTTAAGTTGCGTATAGACTAATGTAGAAGGAACGAAAGTCTAGACTACAAGAGGAGACTACTTCCAGCTTTTCACGATATTTTTTAAAGAAGAAGTTATTTTGTTTTTAATTTCTTCTTTGAAAGTCTAAAAACATTTTTTGTTTCATAAATTTTTCTCTCGTTTCATTTTCTTATGTATAGTCTAATTGAGGAAGTGTTCCCTTTACAATGGGGATATTTTTGAAAGTTTTTACGTTTTCCAAAGACCATCCTTCAAGAAAAGCTTGAAAAGTACCGTAGAATAAATGAATCTCATTTATCTAATCTATGTGATAAATTTTTGGGTGTTGTCCGCGCTATATTTGCCAAGGAATTACAAAGTGGACATTTTAGAGAGTGAGCACAATGTCACACTACTATCTTACACGCATAGATTCAAAAAATAAATTTTCCCCAAAGATAATTTACGATATGAAAAGAAAAATCTGATCAAATGCTTAAGTCAAGTAAATAATTCATTTCCTATTTTTCAAATAAATGGTACATATTTAACGTATGATTTACCATTATCTAAAATAAATCATTTACTTTTCTTAGGGAAAGTGACGACTAAGTAAAGTAAACAACATATTTCTAGAGTACATAACTATAGCAAAAATCCAAAATTGAAAACTAAAAAGGATTAAAAACGTTAAAAGATGTAACAATAAAAGATAAAATCTTTAAATTTCTAAAAGATCGTCAAAGAAAACAAAAAGTTCAGGTTTAAGTAATCAAAATGATTTTGATAGATTCAGTGACTAGTAAGGATTTGTACACATCTTTTTATACATAATATATTTTTTATATGATTTTTGTATTATTTATAAACAAGTATACATCAGTAGTCACATAACAAGTTGACGATAGTAAATAAAATTTGATAAATTTTTTCAAGAATTATTCTATGTTATTGTTAAAGACAAAACGAAAAAAAATAAATAATAAAAAGATAGACAAATAGTAGACTCATACTTGCTATATATTACACATCTGAATAACATTGGACAACTTACTATAGTATTTGCTATGTAATATTTATTAGTCTTGCTTACAGGCCCGTAGCCAGGAAGGATGCCAGTTATGCCCAGACACATCTCATAAATAAAAATTCCTATTTAACTACTATGAAAATAATCACATTTGATTTCTAAAAGAAATCACTGACAAGATAAGGTTCGAACTTACATCTCTTTTCAAGAGACATACAAGTAAAAAGGTGAAGAAAAAGCTACTTCGGTTGCTTAAATGAGTTGTGGTAAGAGATATCTACATTTTTTTTTTTGCGCGCTTCATTAACGCAAACCTTTTGCGTCCTGTTAGTTTTCTGAACCGGTCGCACGGCTATATTGAAATCATAATCGATACAATCAAAAAATAAAATGCAAGAAAATCGGTATATCGATTTACATCGATAGTACACCCTCCTTAGTAAAATCTTGGCTACGGGCCTGCTTGCTTATTGTATCTGTTTTGGTTAGAAATTTGATGAGAATACAAAAATTCTCGTCTCTTATTAAAAAAGGTTTCTCATAAGATCAACTGAATTTTTTGGAATTTAAGTCCTTCATTGTCACATCTTATCGCAATTTGATACTTTCGACATTTTTGACTTCTAGGATTTTTTCGTTTCAGAAATTTAGATTAATAACGAAACACAAACATATAGAAAATTCATCTTCATTTGATCAATCCTTATCATAAAAAAACATAAAATTTTGTCTACATTTCTTCACTAATAATGGCTAATTTCAAAACGGTAAGACTATACATATTTTTCGACATACCGTACTATTCCAAAACTCCTTTTCAGATGTACAAAATCGGATATTTTGTCTACTCATGTCACTATGTTTTCCCTATTTTATTGCGAAATAGATGCTATCTCAAACAGCTGATTTTTCTTGCGCTATTAAGAAGATAGTTCTGAATCTACTGAATATTTCGAAGTCTAATTTGTTTGAAAAACTATTTAAAAAAAATGAACATGTCCCTAAAAATTGTGACACACTTGTTTCTCATATATTCTTTCTCTAAGCTATTTTTTCAAATTAGAAAACATACTGCGTTGCTTATATTAAACACATATTAAAAAGATTTGTCTTATTAATTTTAATGTTATTTTAGTTTTCATTTTTTCTATTTTTTTTTTACATTGGCAAAAGCTTTTCCAAGCCAACACGTTGATGTTTTTCAAATAAAACATTATTATACGAGGAAAAAAGTATTAATTTGTTCAATAATTTTTTCAAATAATGTAACAACGTGTGAATATTGATTAGCGAGATTTGTGTAGCATAAGTTATTTTTTAACTTTTAAGCATAGGGTTGAACTTTCGGACGTGTATAAAAGTATTGAAAAAAAAGGAGAAGTATTTCATTTTTTGTGGTTAGAAAAAGTAGAATTTGTTATGATATCATCTCTACTAAAATATCAAGGAGATACGTACGATAACGAAATACATTTGGATAATATGTTGCTTCTTTTCCAAATAAATTTTTTCCTTTGTAATAAGGTAATGGTTCATAACCCATCTACAACGGAGAAAAATAGAAAAAAAAAATAAGAAATCCCATCATCTTCACAAATGAACTTCACTTTACCTGCATTAAAGCTCGAACATAGGCCATGGGATGTCCAACTGCTTGTTGGAATGCTGTTGCTTTGAGAACAGTAAATGTTGGATTTTGTGAATTAAGTGCCGACTGAAAACCTCCGACTCCACTTCGTCCGAGTGGTTTTGTTGTTGTAGGAATCGGAGCATGAGTTGGTCGTTGTAATGAAGGGACAGTTGAAGATAACTGCTGATTTTGAGGAACATGCATACCTGTTGACGTTGTTTGAATAGGATGAGCAGTATGATCATTATTTTCTAATGGATCAGCATCCTGATGCTAGAAAAAATTCAAATAAATAAACATTGGAAGATAGATGAAAATAAATACATACACTAGGCTTTGCCGATGATATTGATTGAGCATCAGTCATTTTCTCAAAAATATGTTTGTTCTAAAACAAAATAGAATCGAATTAGTGCTCTCTCCTTTTTTTCATGAGAACTTTTGTGTTTTCCAACGTAGAATATGAGTTCGAGTTTTCAAACATACATAAGATACGAGAAGTTAGCTCTGACTAATTTAGCTAATATAATAATAGCAACTAAAGAAGGGATTGAAAAATATTTGCCATAAATACGAATCGTATATGGGAAGTATAGTATAGAAAAACTTAGAGAATTTAAGATCTATTTTTGGTTAATGTAGACTAAATTAATGAATAAAAGATATGTTTTAGTATTTTAACTTTACCCGAAGTCGATAAATTTTAAAATATTGTTATTATTCTCTTCTTTACGGCTTCCAATTATATAAATTAAGTACAATTCTCATTAGATAAAAGGCTCAGAATAAAAATAAAACAAATAATTAAAAAGAGAGAGTAAGTAATTCATCGTTAATTATTAGTTTTACTAATTATGACTATATCCTCTTAAATTTTTAAAGCATTCGCACCATGTCACATTTTGGACGTCTCGGTTTATGAATTTCAACACGAATTAAATGGTCTTTCATTTTCTGATTTTTTTTAATGATATATCAGAATTATCAAGATTTAATGGTAATTCTCATAAGAGAACAACAAGAAAAAACAATCGCTCCAAAGCCGTGCAAGATGAAATATTTTGTTTTGTAGACGCTCAAGAAGAAATAATTTTTCTATCTATCACTTTGAGTTTTACAGCGAAGTGTAAAGATCCACTTTAAAAAAGCTAATAGCAGGAAGAATAGTATGAGCGTATGCTAAACAAAAAGGGTTGATAGTTACGTGCGATGGAAAGGAGTCACGTTTCTAATGACTTATGGTCCAAGCGTGACTAAAGTAATCTTCATATTGGAAATTCGATTTTCACTATGTTTTTAGCATGGAAATGCGGTAATAAACCACTTTGACTAAAATTCTCATTACCAACACTGGAAAAGACATCATTCGCTTCCGAAAAGCGGTTAATAAAATTAGTAGTGATGTATTGGTGGTTAATGTACGCTAGATGCAAAACCGTATTTTAAGCATGAAATCACATTTTTCTTCACGTTATGCGGCTAGAATATACTTTAACCTAAGGGAAACAGTAGTCCAAACATCCACCTTTTTTACTTCATTGTAATTGGAGACCACCTAGAACAAACTAAAGAATAACCAACAAAGTAAGTGTCCGATCAAATCATAATCACTATATAAAATTTCAATTTCTGTATATTTTCGGTCATTCATACTTACATACTCACATTATTTTCGATGTGATACTAGCGACACGAGTGTATGGCATATTCATGCTACACCTCTTTACACTTTTATGATAATACAAAAGTCGTGTTTATTGACAGAAATCAGATATTTTTCATATAATAGTCGACTATTAATTAGAAAATGTGACTGTTGGTGTACTTGCGTCATCTATGATCCAGATCAGTAAAAGTGTTACATAATATCGTCAAGAGTTTCTAATATATTTGAAGTGCATTTTAGGTGATACTAAATATACAACATTTCTTTTCGTTATGACTACCATGGCTACGAATTTCAAAATCAATGAATCAACATGGCACGTGTTTGGTCGAGATAGAATACATGCAAAAGGTAATGCATACGAGTAAAACAGAATGAACTATATAATCGTCGTAAAACTTGTAAAGTGTTGTACTGAACTTTTACATTTAATTTACTTCAATTATCTCTTCCTTATTTCAAGAAGAATGGATGTTGAATATTTTTCTACTTCTCTTATGTTCGAGAAAGAAACTTTGAAAGTGTCTAGAATATCTGAAAAATCTAATAACAAATATGATGATGCATTTTTACTAGAATGCATATATATGTTTAAAGAATCTTAAATTGTTTTTTGTGTGGCAAAAATTGAAAAAGATTGAAAGAATTCTTTAAAGTTGAAAAACTGATGCCTTTTCTTTTTAGACTTATTTGGCTAAAAACAATGTTAGGTTATGAAATATCTCACTTAGCCAATCTTTTGAAAGACTCATACAATCAAAATGATTCCGATAGTGAAGACGAGGGAGTATGTTGATTTTAACTTAGTATATTAATTTTCGTAAAGAAACATGCTCGTTTTTCCATGTATTAATAGCCCAAAACAAAATCGGCCAATCTGACACCTGCCAGTTTTGTTAGTCCTCAAGCAAAGAATACAACTGAAAAGGCAAAAGCTGTTGTATCATCAAGTAAGTTAATAAAAAGAACTGTGCCTTTTTTGGTGATTAAGTGATAGTATTGCTAGTAAGACATAAATGTGTTTCCTACTCAATGGTCTACGAGTCAAAATGTATGATGTTAAATTTGTTATTTATTTGTTTTGTTTAGAAAAAGAACTGGTAAATACAAAAGATATTTGGAATATTGACGAAGTACCAGATCGAGGAAATGAATCAATACCTACCGAAAAAGATGATACACGACCACAGCCAGAGTAACTAATTATCTCTATATATCATCTGCTATTACTGTATCTGTTTATTTTTCTTCTATCAATTATAGATATGATATGCATTATAAACAAAATGTAACATCCGAAGATATTTTTCTACAGATGGGAAATAAAAATCCTTCAAGTGCTAGTTGTGAAGATTTGGTGGTAAATGATTGTTACACGACTGGATCAAATGTATCTATTATTCTCTACATTTCAGGTAAAAATTCAATTACCAGACACAGAATTATCAGAAATCGTATTGGATATTACAAAAAATTTGGTCGACTGTAGATCTAAGAAATAGTATGTATATACACTAATGTTAAGATAGACTGTTGTTACTTTAATTTGGTTTATTTCTAGTCGTTTAGCCCTACCGTTACCTCATCCATGTGATCCAGATAAATGTCAAGCAAAATGGAATAAAGAGCAACATACATTACAGATAACTGTGAGATTACAAAGAGAATATGACGATTTCAATTTTTAAACCGATTGTTCTCAACATGTTAAGTGTGTTTTCTTTTCATTCTGATGCGATGTAACTTAAAAAAATTTTCTCTTCTTTTTCAATGGTTGATTTTTTCACATATCTTGATCGTTTCTTTGCCACATCTAAGTCTACGTCAAGACTTTTTAAGCGCATATTCTTTTTCTTCGCTCAAAAAGTATCGGACAAGTAGCTCCCTTATGTAGAGTGTCACAGCTTTAGCTGATAATCTTATAGTACTGGTGATCGGTGGAGTCATCTATTTTTCTCTTACACTACATGTTAGTTAAAGACTTAGTTTTAGCTGAAAGATGGATTTGCCAGATATTTTTTTCTCATTCTTTATAGTGTTAAATGTTTTTATTTATCGTTTGCAATTCCGAAGTTAAAAGTTAATGGATACTTTTTCAGATAACAGGTTCTCGTATAGCGATCAGCAGTGTTAGTTATCACATGTAAACTGTTAATACATTCTTCACGAACACAGTGAGGTGAAAATAATTAAAAAATTTTCTGCGTGAAACAAGTCAACTTCAAAATAGATTAGCAGTACATCAAACTGTAATTATCGTCTGTGTTATTATAAAAGACCGACTTTTTTTTCTTCTTCTACGTATGTTTAAAAATGTTTATATATTAAACGTAAAAGTTCCACGATTGTCAATAATTTCCGCATTTACGTCAAAAATTTCATCTCGCCGAACGTGAAGAATAAAAAAACATCTTCGAGTTTCGAAGCTAAATAAATTTTTATACTAAACAGTTAAGTAACCTCTGCAGTAAAACAATTCTACACGTATATACCCAGGTCAATTACAGTATAATACGGTGCCGTATACAGTGTTCGTTTACGGTGCTACATAAATGCGCCGTATACGCGATGTAACTAGGCCAATGCAAGAATTGATGACTCATTCTCACCACATAAATTTTGCTGTGATATTGAGCAGCTATATATAACATAGTAGACATCTAGCGTATATCGCATCTTCGTCTTTTATTTCATCTTTCTTGATCTATTGAGTCATCGATATAGCAAAAAATTCATTGTTTTAAGGGTCACTCACATGTGGCGCATGTCGTCAAAGGAACAACGAAAAAAATGCATGGAAGTAGAAAAATTAGCTTTAGAAGAAGATGAGTCATCCATTGTGAACAATGAATTTTTGCTATATCGATGACTAAATAGATCAAGAAGATCACATAAAAGAAGATGCGATATACGCTAGAAGTCTAGTTCTTGCGATAAAACTTAAGATTTTTTTCTTTCTTCGTCTTCAAACATCAGTTGAGCGCAAATAAAGTGCATGGCTGTATGTTTGTGTTCTACCTATGCCAGAAAATATTATGAATAGAGAAAGATACTTTTTTAAGAGGGTCTAAAGGAAATTTATAGAACACGATCAGGCACATAA